AGCAGGGATGATTCAACATATGAAAATCAATAAATGTAATACACTTTATCAACAGAGCCAGAGACAAAAATTACACGATCATCTTAATAGATGCAGAAAAAGCTTTTGACGAAGAGCAGGACTTATTCATGATAAAACCCTACAGAAAAGTGGAATAGATGCTTTCTATTTGAATCTGATAACAGCCATCTATGAGAAACAAATGGCCATCATCATACTAAATGGACAAAAACTGAAAGCTTTCAATCTAAAATCAGGAACAAGATAAGAATGTCCACTATCACCACTCCTTTTCAACATAGTGCTAGAAACATTAGCCAGAGCAATTAGACAAGAGAGAGAAATAAGAGGAATAAGGATAGGGAAGGAAAAAGTGAAATTATCATTATTTGCAGATGACATGATACTCTGCATAGAAGACCCCAAAAACTACACTAAAAGGTTTATAGATTTAATAATCAAATTCAGTTGCATGACTAGATACAAAGTCAATACTCAAAAATCAATAGCATTTTTGTATACAAACAACAAATTTATTGAGAGAGATTAGGGAAACCACAACCTTCACAATAGCATTCCAAAATAAATGAATACTTAGCATCAATCTAACAAAAGAAGTAAAAGATTTATATAGTAAAAATTACAGTAATCTGAAAAAGGAGATTGAAGAGGATATCAGAAAATGGAAAGATATTGCTTGCTCATGGATAGGAAGAAACAATATAGTGAAAATGGCCATACTTCCAAAATTGCTATACAGACTTAATGCAATCCCAATCAAAATACCATCAGCACACCTCACAGAACTAGAGAAAACACTCTGAAAATTCATCTGGAACCACAAGAGACCTAGATTAACAAAAGGTAATCCTGGGCAACAAAGACAAGTCAGGAGGCATCACAATCCCTGACTTGAAATCATGCTACAAAGCTACTGTGATGAAATCAGCATGGTACCAGCAAAAAAATATACCTGAAGACCAGAGGAACAAATTAGAAGATGCGGACACAAATACAAATACACTCAGCCACCTTATCTTTGATAAAGGGGCCAAACATATTCACTGGAAAAAAGATAGCCTGTTTAATAAATGGTGCTGGAAAGACTGGCTCTCTACATGCTGAACACTAAAACTAGACCCATGTATATCACTAAGCATTGAACTAAAGTCAAAATAGATGAAAGATTTAAATATTAAAGCAGAAACACTAAATCTACTGGAAAGGAAGGTAGGTAGAAATCTTGAAGACATAGAGGTTGGCACAGTTTTCATGAACAAAACCCAAACTTCATAAGAAACACTTCAAAGAACCAACAACTGGGATTTCATTCTAATGAAAAGTTTCTGCACATCTAAAGAAATCACCAATAGAGTGAAAAGACAACCCACAGAGTGGGAACACATTTTAACTAACTGTCCCTCAGACAAAGGACTTATATCTAGAACATATAAAGAATTGAAAAAACTCAGACTTCCCATATGCAAAGACTCAATCCAAAAATAGGCATCTGAGATGAATACATACTTCTCAGATGAAGAAATACATACTTCTCAGATGAAGAAATACAAATGGCAAATACATACATGAAAAAATGTTCAACATCATTGGTCATTCAAGAGATGCAAATTAAAACAGCACAAAACTGAAATTTCATCTCACCTCAGTAAGAATGGCTACCCCCAAGAAAACAACCAAAAACAAATGCTGGAGGGGTTATTGGGGGAAAAGGAACCCTTCTCCACTCTTGGTGGCAATGCAGACTGATTCAACCATTGCGGAAATAAGTCTGGAAATTCCACAAAAAAATTAGGAATAGAGGTCCCATTTAACCCAGCTATTTCCCTTTTGGGTATTTTCCCAAAAGAATTAAAAACATCACCATAGTAGTATATGTGCACCCATGTTCATAGCAGCACAATTTGTCATAGCAAAATTTTGGAGACAACCCAAATGGCTATCAACTGAGGAGTGGACAAGAAAAATGTGCTATTTTTATACAATGGAGTATTACTCAGCTATAAAGAAAAGTAAACTCAAGGCTTTTATAGGTAAATGGATACAACTAGAGACTGTACTCATAAGTGAAATAAATCACACCTACATGTGTAAACACCATATTGTCTTCCTAGTGTAAGAACATGAAAGAGGAAATAAAACTGAAAGGTACAATAGGTATTGTGAAAGGGAAAGAAACTCTTAATAAGAAAGAACAACTAGGATGAGGAAAAGAAGAAAAGAAAGAAAGAAGGAAGGGATATATATATATATATATATATATATATATATATATATATATATATATGCACACACAACATAGCTAAGATAACTGTGCTACTAATTTCTTTTGGTTTATTGAAAGGAAGTTAATGTTTAATCACTTGATCAATCTTACATACCTGTATCTGGTAATCTGAGCAACTGTTTTGAAGATAATAATAAGCAATACAACAACCATTGTTGATTTCCTATCATCTTGTTTTGAAGTTCTGTACAATTTTTATCATTTTGATGTTATTTTGTTTTTGTCTTTGCTTTTGTTATTTTGTTTTTGTTCTTTTCTCTTTAAAATAAATATAAGAAAGTTAAAAACACTTTAAATTTTATTGAAGTAAATAACATGTTACCACTAATCCTCCTCAAAGTATCACTCCTCATAATATCAAAATATCCCATCATTCTTGCCCCTCTGAAGCAATTCTGGAAGTCATTCTTTGTGCCTTTAGTTGCGCTATTGTTGCTGCCTTGATATCTTGAATCCATTTAGAACGTTTACCTTTCATTACCATTTGACTTTGGGAAAGATGCAGAAGTTGTATTTTCAGATCTGGTGAGTAGGGTAGATGAGGACAAATTGTAATATTTTTAGGACCCTGCTTTTCCATTGGATGGTACTTAACAGCGATATTCACTCAACTTTTTATCACACCTCATGAACACACTCAAGAAAGAGGTCCAGAATCATTTCAGAAGGTGCAAGAATTGTGGGATGTGTGTTCAGAGCAAGGGGGAATATTTTGAAAAGGGTTAATGGCAATGTATCTTTTAGATGATCAGTTTTGTGTTTAAACATTCACTGAATATTTTCATTGCCCCATACATCATATATTCATATCTATCAAAAATCATATAATCATTTCATCGAAGGTAGAAAAACATAGAAGTTCTCAGTAATTACTAGAAAACCTTCTTGAATTGGAGCAAAGGCATCTATGAAAGTTTTACAGCGGACTTCATGCATCATAGCCAAAGATGGAATGACTTTCTCCAAATACCAGGAGCAGAATAAGGATGAGTCTGTTACCACTGCTATTTAACTTTGCACTGAAAAGAACCAGGAAAATTAACAAGAATATGATTCCAGGTTCCAAAGGCACAAGTAAAACTATTTCTATTTGAAAATAACACAGTTTCATAGATAGAAAACAGATGCTTATAGAAAAACTTAAAAACCCATGAAAAATTATACGGACCAGTAAAGAAAGTATAGGGACTAAATGAACAACTGCAGCAAGTTTGTAGGATACAAGATGAATATGGCAAATCAATATTTTTTTGTACCAGAAATGAACGATCTAAATCTGAACGGTGCTGGGTCAGTTTGATATCTACATGAAAAAGAATGGATCTTATTCATACATTATAAAAATTAATCCATATGGATTAAAATCCTAAATGTAAGATCTAAAGCTACAAAATTCCTAGAAGGCAAAACGGGAAAGTCCTTGTATTTCAGATTAAGTAATGGATTCTAAAGATATAAAATTAAAAGGTTCAGGAAAAATGTAAAGAATGAACCTCATGAAATTAAAATGTTTGCACTTCAAACAAATGTAACAGGAACGATATGCAGAATGGGAGGAAATATTTGTGCAACCTGTATCCCATTAAGGTTGTATATCTATAACTACTTAAAATACTTAGAATTTCACAGCCACCATCACCATATGGACAATATGTAAAATCAAAATTTCTTCACTAGCCTACATCAAATGATCTCCCACAATGCGTTTCAGACTCCACCACCACAGTTGTAATCACACCACAGCAGTACACAATACTTTTCTCTGACTGTGAGATTCATAAATTAAAAGATATTTATCTTTGGGATCTAAATCATTTAAATAGCATAGGATTATTTGTACCTTGGGAATAAATACACATTAATTAACACATTAATTTCTTAAACAATCCAATGCTTTGGAGCAGTGGGAAATAGGAAGAAGAGCTCTTTAACAGATTTCTCAAAACTTCTCATAGAAATTGGTATATGTAGTATCTACTGCTTTGGGGGCCATTTCATGTCAGTTTATCTTTTTTCATAAATTCAACTATTTCACTGTAATTTTCAATTTTTTTTTTCCTGTACTGAGAATTGAACTCACAACTTTGGGCTTGCAAGGCAGGCGCTGTGCCGCTGAGCTAAATCCCCAGCCCCAATTTTCAATTTTTTAAATAGAGGTGAATAATGCACAGTATTCTCTTAAACCAATTTTAACTTTCTGTGTATTGTGATCGTACCTGTATTACTGGACTTAATTCTAATTTAGTGCATCTCTATTTTCTCTTTTCTGATTAATTACACTAGTATCTCTTTTTTCCTCTTCTCTCTTCCTTCTTTCCTTCTATCCTTCCCATTCTGATTCACTCTTTCCCTTTTATGTTTTTTTTTTCCCTTTCTTCTCCTTTTTTAGCCTGCTTTGCTTTTCTTTTTCTTCCTTACCCTATCTCTTTAGTATGATAATTTTCTCTGTTCCTCACCCCCAAAGCACTGATTATAAAAATGCAGCTTTCCAGAGCATTTAAACATGTTTATTGTGTGTATATCTGTATAAAACAATACTGTAACATTGGAAAACTACATCCTACTTCTAGTAGGAAAATGGTGAAACAAGAGCATATCAGCCAATTAGACAACACTAATTACTTTGTACACACTGTGGTGATTTTCTAAGTAGAAAAACTCCTCTTTTTCAAATTTCAATAATGCTTAGTGATTTTTAAATATCCAAGGCTTTTCTATGAGTTACTTGAGAGAAAAATTTAAATATACTTTCTAGTACTTTCCTTAGAGCTATCTGCATCTCTTTGTTCCTTAGGCTGTAAACAATGGGGTTAAGCAGAGGGGTCAGCACTGTGTATATCACAGCCATCAGCATGTCTTGGCCAAAGGAGGCACTGCCTTTGGGCCTCAGATAGACAAAGCAAGCAAATCCATAGTGTATACACACCACAGTGAGGTGGGAGGAGCAGGTGGAGAAGGCCTTATACCTCCCCTTTGCAGAAGGCATCTTCACAACTATGGACACAATGAAGACGTAGGAAATCATTATTAAAATAAAGCTGCCCACCAGCACGAAGGCAGAGAGCACAAAAATAACCATTTCGTGATAAGAAGTGTAATCACATGCAAGGTGGACCACTGGTGAAATGTCACAAAAGAAATGTTGTATGTTGCTGGAGTCACAAAAAGACAAGTTGAATATCATGATGGTGATGCACAGAGAAATGAGGAACCCAACCACTGAGGAGGCCATGACGAGCTGACAGCAGATCTTTCTTGTCATAAGGGTATGATAATGCAGCGGGTTGTGGATGGCAGTGTAACGGTCATAGGACATGGCAGCCATGATGAAACAGTTGTTGGATGCCAGGCCACAGAAGAAAAACATCTGTGTGGCACACTCAGGAAGAGAAATGGTCTTGCTCCCTGACAGCAAGTCCATTAACATGCGGGGAATGACTACCATAGTAATACAAGTTTCTGAAAAAGACAGGCTGAAAAGGAGAAAGTACATGGGCGTATGAAGGTTTTGACTGAGTTTGATGGCCACCATTATGGACACATTTGCCAATAGAATTGTCACATGGGAGGATAAGATCATCACAAAGAGTAGATTCTTTAATTCTGGGAAACTAGAAAATCCCCACAGAAGGAATGTGTTCACTGCAGTGTGATTGTTCATTGCTCTGATGAGCATAGTCACTTTCTCCCAATAACATGGAGATGTTTTTTTGTCAATACTCTGAGATAATTTTTAAAGCACCATTGGCACTGATGCTACCTAGACTTAAATCTGGGCCTCTGACAAGTGGGAAAAAAACCATAAAGAACCCGAGAAATATCTTTTTAGGCGCAAGTGGCAAAAATGAGAGTCAGGAGTCTGAGTGATGAGAATGATTCTAGTACAATAATGTATATAAGCCCCATAGAGCAGGTCCAGGCATCATTTTAGATTTTACTCACAAAAACACTCTACCTTTCCGTCTTCCATTCTGGATCTGCAAAGATGAGAAAAAAATGAGAATAAAAGTCTCGCTTGCTGGATTTTGATATGTCACATTTTTAAGTGCTTTTAAAAATCAAATTGTATCTTGGCACTCATGAGTGCCTACTAAACTTTCGGTGGAATAAGAATGTTAATGCAGGGGCTGGGGATTTAGCTCAGCGGCAAAAGCACCTGCCTGGCAAGCGCAAGGTCGTGAGTTCGGTTCCCGGTACCAGAGAAAAACCAAAAAAAAAAAAAAAGAATGATAATGCAATCACCTAAATCATTTCAAATTAACTTGACATTTCAAAATTCTGTAGAAATTGGTGAAAATTATCAGAACTTTCACAGGTCTCCCAATGCAATGCTGTCTTTATCTGTATTCTCTACAGTTCAGTGGCTCCAAGGACAAAAGTTTGTAACAATGACTAGGTAAGAAAAATTAATTTGGCATGGATTCATGTGGTTGGTAATAATTAAAGCTCAAAAGACATATAAAATTGATCGTTCTTAAAGTTTTAAGAACTTCTCACCGAAGTTCTTTTCCAAGTGCACAAGATAATATAATGGACTAACCTCAATGAAACATGATCTGGAAATACTGTGTCACATCAGAATTGCAAAGTTTGGGCCTGATATCTTCAACCATTGAGATTTTAGCAGAACCTCCAGAACATTTTCTAAGTGCTACATTTAAGTGATTTACTTTGCAGGACAGGCCTGAAAAGAATCAACATATGTTTCTCAGATGAACTTTATGACTCATTTGTTGTGCTGTTAATTAAATATACAAACCGTGAAGGAGGTGAAAGCAGAAAAGTGATATGAATATTCTCCGTAGAATTTTTATTTTAACCTTGGCCACTGTTAAAGATGAAAGAAAAAAATTCTGGGGAAGCAAGTATGGAAAATGAAGTGCTGGGAAGAGAGAGAGAAACACTGACTGGTAATCATCTTAGAGAACTGACAAAGATAAAAACAAAACAGTTGCAGTGTTAGTTGAAGAGTTGCTGTCTTGTATTTGTGTTGCAATTGTGGGCAAAAGAATATTACGCTCAGTACTTACTCTTAGTACTAATAGTGGGCCAGGCAATGAGAGTTAGACATTGCTACAATTAGACACATCAGCCTCAGACATACTTTATTAGTCTATGTGAGGACTTTGCGAAATATGAAAGCAACATATACAGTAGTTATGTGACTATTTGAGATCGTAAATTCAACATTTATTGACTAAATTCCATCCTATGCCAGGATCATCTAGGCATGGGAAAGACAGCAGGGAACCAGATATGCAGGATCACTTTGATGAGGGAAAACACAACCACTGCTCTTAGTCAAGTCAGAAAAGCCCTCTCTGAGAAGGGACATATTTAAAAGGAAAATAAAATGACAATCTGCAAGCATCTAAAGATCAGAAGAGAATATTGCAAGCACAGGCCACAGCTAACACAAAGACCCTAAGACAGGCAAAAAAACCTACCCAAGCAACGTTCACCCAAAACTCAAATGCCTTATTCTTTCAATCATTCCATGTAAATTCTTCCCTCTAAAGGTTTCCTAGTTACCACTGAAGGAAAATCTTTTTCATCATATTGTTTCAGATACTACTTTTTATAACTTCCCAATTCTACCTTCTATCAAAAAAAAAGACTAAAATTTCCTTTGCTAAACATTCAATGCCAGAATGTCACTCAACTATTGAATGCAAGATTCCCAGAGCAAAACCGACCATCTACCTCCACGTATCAGGGTGCACTACTGTGTTTTGTATTTGAGTTACTTACACACTCTCAGAGCATTACCATAAAACATTTTTAGCTCCTTCCACAACTTTTAACCCAATAAATCACTTTCATAATTACCAAATTCTGTTTGCTGACATTATGGACCATTAAAATCCCCTGTGCTATTATAGTGTGTCTATCTCATGGAGTGAACATACGTGCCTCTCTCTCCCAGTCCTATTCTACATCTACTACAAGATTTTTATAGCAAATCTACCGCTATGCTTTCTCTTCACTGTAGACATCTTTGGATCTCCTTTGCTTGTAATATAGATGGTATTAATAATTCATTTTTCATTTTAAAGAGACAAGAAAGCGACAAAAAACAACAAAACTGATACAGAATTTGATACAGAAAAATGATATAAAACAAGATGATGGGAAATTAACAGTGGTTGTTATATTGTATATTGTTATCCTCAAAGTAGTTGCCCAGATTACCAGGTACAGGCATGCAAACTAATAATTTTTCATCTTTACTGCATGTTTTGGTTATACAATCATATATGGATACCCCAAGAGATAAGTGTTATTACAATCATTTTGTTTATAATGAAGAAAGTATGTCTCAGAGAGCTACTTGATTTGGGAAAGGTGATACTGCTAGTAAGTACCCATACCCTGAATTTAAAGCAAGTTGTTAAGGATTTCCTTGTTAGTTGATTACAAGGTCTCCTCAAGAGCAGAGACTCTTGATTGGGGTCCAAAGTCTTACCTTGCCATACTCACTTCATGTTGGTTCACAGTGATTCTCATGTGAGGATCATCCCACTGTTTCCCAAATGTGGCATGTACTCTTGGTTCTTTTATTTTGCGGATAGTATTTTCTCAAACTTGAGATGTCCTTTCTGTTCTTCTCTACCTCCTTAAAAACGAGCTTTCTCAAAAAGACAATTCAAACATCATTTCTCCTTGGAACTTCACCAAACTTCTGACGTGTTAGCCATTTCGTAAAGATTCACTTACCGTTCTGCTCTGATGATACTCTTACAAGCTTGACTTCTATACTAGACATGGCAAAGACTGTGTAAACTTTTGTATCTCTCAGCCTTCTGCTTAAACTGAGTGAAGGAAGCTTTTGACTAAAGTTTGTTCAATGGTCACAGAAAAATTTGAAATCCCATATTCTACAGAAAGTGTTCCATGATTAATGCTTCATTCCATTTAGTAATTCCCCCTAATACATTGCTTAATTTCTTTTGCCCGTATTTTACTTGGATACATACTAAAGACAGTTGTTTGCTGTCTAAACCATCTTTCAGAATCAAGTCATCCAAAACAGTAGATGTAAGAATATATGCTTTCTAAAGGCTCACTTAAAAGAATTCATGCATATTAAACTACAGCAAGAAAATCCTGAAAATGTCAGTGGTGGTTGTGTAGAGCCTAAGAAAAAGAAACTATAATTTTTTAGGTGTAGATTTACTGTACAGTATAAATTCACTCTGAACCTACAAATTGTCTTCTACCCGGAGCATATCATAATACCCAGGAAAGCTTTGTGAGAATAATATATCTCCATACAGCCACACCTACCAGATTTTTTTCAGGCATGTCTCTCCTTGATATCATACTATGTGTGGCTTGACTTTTCTCAGTGATTTTGCTTGAAAATCTTTGAGTTTTATGATAGTACTTAGATTTTTTGATAACTTCTGCTTTCTTTATCTATTCAAGAACATAAATGGATGTCTGTTAATATGTTTTGCTTCTATTTCTTAATATAAAAAAGAACAGCTGTGATAGAAGATGTATCAATGTGGCATTAATTTCACTGTCCCAGTGACACTGAAATCCACAGGAGAAAAGGATGCCTGTAATATTATGCTAGCTCCCCTGTTTTCTCCAAGCCACATGCTCTTTCTACAATTGGCTTTGGCTTTGAGTTTGGCATTTTGTGCTCAGTTTTAAGATCTTCCAGTTCTCTCCCTCTTTAGTTTTCTGGTCTATTTCTCTACCAAGAATAAAATATTGACAACAGTCTTAACTTTCAGTTTATTTGCACCTATACTTTCTTCCATACCTTCTAACAGCCTTGTGTTTATCCACGAAAGACCCTGATTATTGGAAGTTATAGTATAATGTTCATTGTAAAGAAAAGAAAGACTCAAAAATTCCCACCTTTTCCAGGCTCTTAAAAATCATGAGGTAATTAAGCTGTAAGAAAACCTTACTCTTACAACTCAGGTGTGGCTTTCTGCAGTTCTTTCAGAGATTTCACACACCTCTCAATGCAGGGATAAGTTTTAAGACAATTTTTCCCTCTGAATAGCTGTAATGTGTCCCCTATAAGTTTAGAGTCTCCACAAACATGGAAGATAGTACCATCCTCACTTCTTGAAGACGGAGCTCAGGGCCATGAAAAATTTAATGAGAGTCTAGGGACCATTAGGGATCATTATTTTGAGATTCCTGCATTAGAAGTAAGGAATCCTGTGCTTTACATCACCTGGTGTGATGTCCTCAAAATGTTTTTTATTCCTCACACAGTATAGGGGCGTTTACTTGATGCTATTTTTATTCTTCTCAGTACCAGTAGAAATTACTGAAATTCAAAAATTGAAAAATATCTTGGAAAATAGATGATTCCCATGGGCATATTTTACTTCCTGCACAATACCATTTATTTGTGTAATTCTGAAAAATCTGTCAAGTATGTCAAGTATCCTACCTTATTAACAGGGCATGGGAACTGGGTGTCCCAAGAAGCTACTATATGGGGAAATAAGAGGAGAACAGGCAGAAAACTAACCAAGAGAATGATTCCTGTGATTGTTTTCTCATGGGAGTCACACTTCTGCAGACCTTCCTGGAAAAGACAGTACATATTCCAATTATTGCAGAACAAATGACCATGAGTGGCTCCCAGTTTCCTCCCTCGTCACCTTGCCCCTCAAAGCCCCACCACCT